ACACAGACATACACACGAAGGCACAAACAGAAAACAGATTCAGTATGGCCCACTGTTACAGGTACCCCTCTGCTGTTGCCATGGAGAAGTTGTATCCATGGCAATAGCAACTTAAGTGCTGAATTTGTAATCTCAATGTGAACATCGCTCTGTGTTTGTGTGTGTGTGTGCTTGTGTTTGCTTATTTTGTTCATGCAGCTTGCTATGCAGAATGCGTTTCTGCCCACATTTTCTCGCGTCTTTCAGTTTTGATGCGGTTGTGTGTGAGAGCGCGCGCGTGTTACCGAGTTCCAAGTGGTGCATGGTCTGAAGTCTGTTCCTCTCAGACAACAGATCTTCCTTTGCTTGCCTCTCCATTGCCTGCAGCGCCATGGCGTGACCGTGTTTTTCCTCCGCTGACGACTGGCTTTTTGGCTCCTTCAACACAATAAAGCAGGTTTTTTTGGGGGGGTTTCGCAGCGGCTCTCTTCACGCCCACACTGTCACGTCTCTGCGAGTGTAAAACGTCAGCGTGCGCTCGCTCCAGCACACAGAAAAACATTAGGTTGCCTCTTGACTGCAACACTTTAATCAAAACTACTAAATTATTCATCCGGGAAGAAAGAATATGGTGGCGCTCGTACGGTTTTTCACAGCGTATGTATGTGTGTCAGTACCTGCAGCAGTTCCCTCAGTTTCTTGTTTATTTCCCTGGTGTCTTGGACTTCCTTTCTCAGCCTGTCGATTTCAGGGTTGCCGTGGCAATCGTCTCCCTGTCCCGCCTTCTTCTTATCCGCCTGCATGGAAGACAAAGTTTTGAGTGAAGGTTTTTGAACGGTCCCCATCCTGAGACGATGAGCTGGCAGGGATAATTCAGCCTAGAAGTCTCCCTGTTCGGCAAATTCACGCAGCTCGAGTGGATGAAACACAAAGTTCCCAGTTTACGTACCATAAAATTAGGCTGACCTACTTTAAGGACGGTTTTAATTAAATATCCAGAGCTCGGGGATGTCCGCTCTTCCACTGTGTGGATGATGGGGTGAAGCCCTAATGGGGAAAATGAGGGATTCTGTGATGCGGTTTGTGCTGAGGGGCTCACCTCCAGCTCGGTCAGCTGACCCTGCAGCTCAGATATCTGGCTCTGGAGCTCCTGCTCCCGGTCGGCCCACCGCTGCTCACTCTCGGCCACGGCGGCGTTCATCTCTATCCTGAACTCTGCTCTGAGACGATCCTCACACTCTGCCCTGGAGGCACGTGAACGAGGAGGGAAACAGAGTCAAGCTCCACACAAATTCCACTGTTTATTCCTCCTCTGTGGGAAATGTCATGTTGCATGTGCTTCCCTCTCTCTTTGCAAGTACTCTTAATTTGGCTTAATGCTCAGAGTTGTCGTCTGACAACTAATTACTTACCCGACTCAATGAGTCTTACAAGCTTAACACCTCATTTTTCACTGCCAGTTTAACTAATTAAGGATTCTTGTGTTGTTTTTATGGCTCAGAAACCAGATGTTGTTGTTTTTTTCCATTACTGTTTTCTATTCGCTGTGAGAGGGGGACGCGGGTATTTCCATTAACATATAACAGAAAAACCTCACTATATTCTATATACAATCAAAGTAGAGAATAAAAATGACAGAAAAACTCAGCCCGATCCAAGGAAAATAGGAAGAATGTTGGATTTTTTCTTTGGCCCCTCAACAACATATGAAAAAAAAGGAAAGAAATTATTTTGATCAAATTAGCGTGCAATTAGTCAAAAATATATTTTGGTGTAGTCTTCTACTTGCTGTTAGCAGATATATCTGAAACAGGGGTTTGAGCAAAGCTTTTACCATTGAATGATGCAAAAAGTCTCAGATCCAAAAGACTTCAGAAACCGTATGTATCAAATATGATACATTTGGCATTATAGGGTTAAGCACCAATCACACAGAAGGGACACGCTGATCCTCTGCACTCAATGATGATTTCAACAGTGATGGAGATATATGCCCTGTGACTGGCTGACTGTCCAGGGTGTACCCCGCCTCTCACCTATTGACTTTTGGGATAGGCTCCAGTCCCCCCATGACCCCATTAGGAGGTTACGAAAATGGATGGATGGATGGATTGTGATATAATTTGAATTCAATCTAACTCATTTCTTTATTAACTATTAGTGGCTGGCTTTTATATAATTTCTTTATTAGCTTTGCTAACCATTGCTCATGACCTCCAGTACTGAGCAAGCAGGGCGGGCAGCTACCTGATCCGGTCCTCCATGTTCCGCTGGCTCTGCTCCAGGAGGCTCTTCTCCGTGTTCTTCCTGCTCTGCTCCAGGACTTTCTCCTCCAGCCGATGCTTGTCGGCCCTCAGCGACGCGATCTCTTTCTGCTGCCTGTCCCGGTGCCTCTCCGCCTCCTCCTGAACGCGGGCCAGTCGCCCCCGGGCCTGGTGAAGCTCTTCCTCCAGCCGGGAGCACTGCGGCCCGCACGAGGGGGGGGAAGCTTCAGGAGGCGCCTTTTCCCTCTTGTCACTCTTTTGGACCGCTGCCTCCAGCCTACAGATCTGAGAGCACAGAAACAGCGCCGTCGGCCTGAACAGCCCCCAGTTTTTTGCAGCCGGCACCGATAAATGCCGTCATTTTCATCCAGGGAACGACACAGGCTCTGTCGCTTCTGACCTCTGCGCTGGCATCCTTCAGTTTTGTCCTCAGCTCATCCTGTTCCTTCTCCAGGCCGTAGCGCAGCTCCTCGGCAGCTCGCCTCTCCTCCTCCAAACGCGCACAAACCTTAAAGACACCCCCCCTCCCTCAGTAAATCAGGAATGATTCTTCTTTACTGAACATTTCTGTCATCATTTTCTTACTGAGTATAAAAAAAATAATTACGTGCACACCATGAAAATGTATTTCAAACATCTATTTATCATTATCAGAAATTTGTGGTGTCAGCCTAATCTGTGGGTGAGGGTGTCCTCCGTGAGGAAGAGAGGCGAACACAGATGAAAATAAACATTTAGGCAACATGTGCTTTGCTCATTTTATTCAAAATAATTCTAATTTTGATTCCTCTGGGAAAAAACTGCTCGACAGGCCATGTCCTTAAGATAAACCGTCAAAAAAACAGCTTTTTGATCCAAATGCATTTTTTGAATGAGTTAAAAACAGCCTCAGATGATAAACAATAAATCCCGTTCCGAGTCATGGACAAAAACATGCAAACGATCAAATCAAAATGTAAAAAGCCTCACTTTCTGAAGCTGTAAGTCCATCGACAATATTCAATTAAAAATAACATAAGCGCTACATCTCAGACTCTTAGGACAGAGTTCGCACTAAATCTTAAAGTTGATGGCAGTATAATCCAGACTGAACACGAATTACTTTTTTTGGCAGGAGAGACAACATCAGAGGGGAATCACATGACCTGTGGAACAGTGTTTTTGGACACTGTTGGCAGGGTGACCACAAGACCTGGATGCACTGCAGCCATTGCATATTAATACTATTCTCCATTGAAATACTCTGATGTTCATCTGTCTGAAGCCACCAAATACAGTGATAAATCTACTGGTGAATGTCCGAAAAAAGAGAATTATCAGACAGTAATAAAGCGGGGGGGGGGGGGGGGCAGATAACACCATAAGGAAAGTAATTAATTCAAGTAATTACAGCTAAAAGTTTGACAAGCTTGTTTGGTTTTTCATGTAAGGCTGCATTAACTGAGCTGTGAAATCTGATAAGGAGCAGAGCATTTTTATCATCTGCGTAGTAAGAGCCTGTAGAAGAAATGATGGAGGCTGTACTTTATTTACGGCACGACTGTATGCAGCGGCTGAGCGGCCCACGCATCCCTCCCATTCAAGGTTCACAAGCTGAAAGCGTTTCAAGCCACGGCTTTTAAAGCCAGGGGACTACAGCGTCCAGCTCGGTTAGCGCCTTGCTGTTTACTCTCTGCAGCACGCTCGTTTCATTTAAATGTTTTGACACTGACATCATAAGTGTCAATTCTGGTAATTAGCTCCAATGAAAAAAAAGCTAGGACGGCCTCTGTGCATAAGCAGTCTGACTGTTTCCCAAAAGAAATTAGATGAGATGTTATTTGTAGCGCCTTGTTTTTGCACCAAAAATGTAAAAGATCTAAGCTTTGATGCTAGTTAACTAAAACAACAAAAGTCTCACCACTGAGCTGAACTTCAGACTATTTTTAGTTTAATTTAGTCTATTTGAAGTTGTCATCATGGAGAAACTGTGTCCCCAAGAGCTTTTGCTGTAGGTGTTAATTCTTCACTTAAAAGGGATATTTAAATTTTTTGTGTACTTTTGTTGCAGGGAAGCTAAGCTTTGAGTCCAATCTCAGAATTCTTCGGTCTAAATCCTGAAAATGCAAACTTGCCCAGGGGTAAGCTATCTAGGAAAGTCAGAATTCCTGGAAATGGGTTCTTACATTCTCCCCCTTCTGGCTCCTAGATCATCTCCAGAATCCTGTCATTGTTTTAATCACAAAGATTTCTCTGAAAGCTTTCTGGATTGTAAAGGTGAACCCTGTGAGAATATCTGCGCTCTGTGTGGTGTGCGGACGCGTGCTGACCTCCTGGTTGGTCTTCCTCTCTGAGCTCAGAGCTTCCTGGACGCTGTTTAATTCGGCCGCGTGCCTCCTCATCACCTCCTCTATGGCCTTGCGTACTTGCTCCTTCAGCCGCTTCCTGTCCTCCTCCGCCTTCTCCGCCAGCCTCTTCTTCTCCTCCTCCAGCTTCTGCTGCACGTTGGCCCGCTCCGCCTCCACCTGCTCGATGCTCTTGTCCAGCTGGGCGCGGACGCGGACCCTCTCCACCTCCAGCTCTTTGCCCAGCCGCTCCACCTCCTCCTCCTTTTCCCTCCTCAGCCGCTCCCTGACCTCCTCCGCCTCTTTGTGCAGCGCCTCTTTCTCCTCGTCCTTCTCCCGCCGCAGCCTGCCGCGCTCCTTCTCGAAGCGCTCCTTCTCCTGCTCCCTCTCCCTCTGCAGCTTCTCCTTCTCCCGTTCCATCTCTCTCTGCAGTTTGTCCCTCTCGTCGTCCGCGTGCTTCTGGATGCGCCGCAGCTCCTCCGTCTGGGCCCTGACCATCTCCGAGCGCAGGCTGGACAGGGCCTCGGCGTGCTGTTGGAGACGCGGCGCGTGTCAGTGTGTGGCCTTTTCGCTCCACCATTTGCTCTGGCGGCCATTACCTGCCGTATCTGCCGGGCGTGGTCGCTGTTTCTGCCGCTGCTCTGGAGCTCCAGCTCTCTGTTCCGGCTCTGCAGGCGGCTCACCTGGGCCCGCAGCTCCTCTATCTCCACGCACACGCAGACCTCGCACCCGCCACGACTCAGCAGCTCCTCTGGGAGGCACACGAAAAGAATGACCACTGTGAATCCGTACGGCCTGTCCAGGATGCGTAGAATTCCAAACAGTTGGTACCATTTTGACTGCGCTCAAAGGACAATTCTGTGACATTTGAAACTGACTGGTAAAGTAAAGTGACCACAGATTAAAGTCAATTACTCTCATAACTCAATTCAAAATTCCCTTGAACTCAGGCAGCCAATTGAATGACATAAACTACCATTTTAAATAACCTTCTCAACAAGACCCGGATGCTTTTTATCCCGGAATTTTCTTAGTCTTCCTGTTTTTTTTCTGAAGGACCCAAAATAAATGATAAAAACACAAAGAAGTGGACCAAAAGAAACGGAGTTACTGCTGCTTCACTGCTTGGACTCCTAAAGGGGAAAGGGCCTAAACAACACATTTTTTTTCTCATGCAATACACAACAATCGAGGCTGGTTTCTGCTGACTAGGCACCATGCCAGTTTGATGAAGCCGTCCGCCTTTGCGGGATATGAATAATGTGAGTTAGTTGTCTTTATCTGTTTACATTCCAGCGACATGAGGGGGGAGAGCTAATGTGCTCCGGGTCTGACTGGATAACAGAGTTGGGCCGGGCTGACTTTTAGCCCTTCGTCCTGCTCTACCTGCTCTGCTCTGAAGCTCGTTCTCCTGCAGAAGCAGCCTCTCCTTCGCCACCGCCAGCTCCTCCTCCGCCCGCTTGACCACGCCCTCGGCCTCGGACACCCGCTTCCGATCCAGCTCCAGCTCTTCCTCCAGGTCCTGGAGGAAGCGAGGGTGGGCAGATTTAACACAGATTAGGAGAAGCGGGGGGGGGGAAAAAAGAATGCAAGTCGGACAAGCAGGCGGCGCGGAAGAAAAAGATGAGAGATGAAATGTGGTGAGTCAGGGAGCTGCGCTGGCCAGCGGTGAGGCTTTAGCGCTCTGCTGAGAGGGCTTATGTCAGCTCTGTGCCGGCTCTCCCAGGGCTCCACCACGCTCGTGCGTGAGGTGGTAATGATGGTGGCGCAGCAAAACTACCCTGCTCCGACTACTCATTAGCGGATGGTTGGGAGGGGGAACGGCACTCAGGGAGGCCGATCTGTGGGAAGACTAGCCCCCACCAACTCCTATCTCGCTCCTTCCTTCCCCATCAGGGCGGCCATTAGCTGGTGGTGAGTGCAGGAAGCCTCTGAGCGTGTAGCTTTAGGCTGACTGAGGAAGCGTTAGCGTGCGGGGAAGTACCTGTATCCGCTCTTGTAGCTTCACCGTGTGCCTCTTGCTCTCCGCCAGCCTCTCCAGGTGACTCTCCACCTCCCCCTCGGCCCGCTTCACCCTCTCTCGAAGGGCGCTGTGCATCCCCTTTTTCTCCTCCTCCTCCCTCTCCTCCCACCTCTGCCGCTCCTCTCTCCACTCCGCCTCGATTCTCTTCCTCGTGGCCTCCCGCTCCTCATTCAGGTCGGTCACCCTCCGCTCCCACTGCTCCCGCTCCTCCCGCACCGCCCGCTTCTTCTCCTCCTCCGCTCCCTCCTTCTCCTCCTTCAGAGCCTTCAGCTCCTCCAAGAGGCCCTTGACCCGTTTCAGGTCTTCGTGCTTCTCGGTTCTCCTCTCCTCCTCCTGCTTCTCCTTCTCCTCGTCCCCTTTCTGTCTCTCCTCGTCCTTCCTCGTCCTCTCCTCGTCCGCTGCGTTTTGAAGCTCCTCGCATTTGGCGTTCAGCTCCTGGATCTGCTCCCCGGCTTTCTCCAGTTGCGCGCTCAGGCTCAGGCTCTCCTCCTGAGTCTGGCTGACCTGAGCCCTCGCCTCCTGGAGCTCGGCCTCGGCGGTCCGGAGCTTCTCCTCGAACTCTTTCCTCAGCTCCGCCTCCGTCTCCCGCTCCTTCTCCTCCACCTGCAGGCGGAAGCACTCAAAGTCGGCCTGTACCTGGAGCCCAAGAGATGAAAGGATGAGCCCCACGTCAAAAACCTTCTTCTAAAATGAGAACATTCCAAAGTTTGGGTATTTCTGACTCAGGCATAATAAACATTTCTCACTTAAAGCTGAATTTTGTGCCCGCACGCTCTGATACAAGTCATGCTGGGACCACACGAGGGTCAAATATCACAAATTTTTCTGTGTAATGATTTGAAACTCGACTGAATTCCCTCCACATTCTTCTATTGAGAATAATCTAAATTTCAAAGCAATAAATTAAACACGCCACCATTTTTTCCTCTAAAGTCTGAAGTGTCTTCCTGTTCTATTGTTGGAAACTATGCCGAAGGTTGCTATCATTCCACTGAAACCACTTTAACCCGTTGAGACTTTGACTGTCCCTGACCTCTCAAAGTGTGCTGTAAAAAGACAACGACAAAAAACTGACACAAGCCTGCAGAATTTTTAATTCCTCCCAAAACTTAATCTATGCCTCCAGATCAATGCATAGCCTACAGAGCAGCTTCCTCATATAGTCTGACATAATGCTGCAGTGGGTAGTTCAAGTACAACTCGTAGGCTGTGTTACTCACAAAGTAAATGCACTATATGTGTGCCTGAAAAAATGTAAAAACAATCTATTTTAGAAATCGTGAAAAAGTAGCCAGCCTAAGTAAAGCTTCTGGAAACAATTTTTTTCTGTTCCAGAGCATCACTTTATGTAACAAAAGGGGGTTTGTATAAAACAGGTGAAAGTCAAGCTTTTACAGTCATGATTATGTAAGTCAGACTGCCTTTTATTCCTTTATTTAAACTTCTGTTATGCCACAATATGTGGTATTAAACTCCACGGGACACTGAGAGCAATCACCAGCTAACGCTGCTGACTCACCGGCACACACTGGCAGATTTCTCTACCGGTTCTCGTCCCCTCTCGGGCTCACAGTCACGAGGCTGCGGTCTCTCCGGTGTGCCTCCATTTAAAGGGTATTTCTAACCTCTGTCACAGCTGGGATTTGTTTCCAAAGTTTAAAAAACTCAATTCTCAAAAAGGTCAAAATGTGGTCATGGAGACACAGACATGGAAAACGTTCCTACTCTGGGGTCACTGACCTGCATGGGAGGGAGGGATAGTTCCCATTCCCAATAAAGGTGCCTGTATAACTGGATATTGTTCTATTCTAAATAACAGTTACATAACATTTGTGCGTATTAGTGATTGTTTTCAATCATTGACATGATTGTTTTTTTTTTCTTTATTCCCCTGTTCTCAGTTCCCTCCATAAAATCTAATCATCACATATGTTTTGCTTGTGTATTTGAAATAAAAGGGAGCCCAAAATAATCAAATGCCAGGTTGACATTTCATAACGATACGCAGTATATTAACGGCCGGGCCTTCGGCTGATTAATGAACTCGGGACCTGGGACAGATTAAAGGCTGCGGATCATGGCCGGGGTGGGCTTTGATTTGCTGCGCCAGCCGCGAGTTTACGCGTTAAATCACAGCGAGCCCAGTGCCCCCCCCCGCACACACACACCTGGGCTCCAACGCGCTGCTGCTGGTCCAGAGACTCCTGCAGTTCAAGGAGACGGGTCCTTAAGGCCGAGCCCTCGCCTTCGTGGCAGGTGTCCATCAGGATGCGGTGCAGCTCGTCGTGGTGAGCGTGGCTCAGGGCCTGCAGGGCCGCTTCCTGCTCCTCATTCTTCATGTTCAGCGAGTAAATCACCTGAGAACAAACGAGGAAAGATGTAATGACTGCGACCTTCCATTTTTAAAATGATTCCTTTAGAAAAATATTCGACAGTGCATAAAGAGTGTGTGTGTAAGGCTGGTCGGGCATCTGCATTGTCCTATTCTGTGGAAGGAATACGTTCATCACCTTTCATAGGATTTTGATGTTTGTGTAACCACATGTTTGCAAATGTTCACAAAACCTTTTGCTGAACAAACATCACACAGGTCCAAGACTTGAAAACGCTGTGTAGTGCTGTAAGGGGGATTTTACAAGACACACATAGCAGATTTGTTGGAGTTCGCTGGTGTTTTCAACCATGTCATTTGCATGTCATTTGGCAAACATGTTGGATTTGAAGTTAACGTTTCTAAATTTCTTCCAGTTGCAACTTCCACCAAAAAGCAAAAAAAACATCACTAAGAAATCTGAACTTGCTGGTACCTTAAAAATGAAGCGAAGCTCAACTGACAGTGAAGACATTCTTCAGTTTCAAAGAAACTACTAAATCATTTCCAGCTGTTTAACTTTCCCTTCTTGCTCATTCACCAGATTGATTTTCATTCCAATTCATTTTCTTTATTGTCCATGCTTTGTTCGTTTATAAATGTATTCAAGCATCATCCTGTACATGTAACAAAGCCAAATTTTGGAGGCAGCAGCATCAAAATAATAAATATCAAGTCAAAAGCAGCCCAGCAAAACGTGGGAATCTACAGCCCTGTGAGCCTGTACAGTCCAGCTTCATGGATTTATGGCTGCTCTCATGTACGCTGTCTCTCTCACACCTCCCCATATAGAGTAATGCAAACACACGTATGAAATATGGTCCATGTCTCCCCACTCCTCACTTTAACCTCTGCGCCATGTTGACAGTGTCATCATCTGCTCCGGGTGACCCTGACGTCTCACTTACCCGCCTGCAAGGGGGCGTGCGTGCGTGCGTGCGAGTGCGCACACACGACAGGGCGTAAGTAGGAGATACGCGGGCTCATGTTTTAACCTGACGCCTCTCTGTCTGCGCCACACAGCTGGCACAGCTCTGCCGGACATTCCCTCTACGCTTGTGTTCCCGCGTGTGCGTCACAACCCCTCTTTGGCGCATACGCCCCCAAACTGCCAGTCTCCGATAGCCTTAACCTGGATTTATTTTATTCCGATATCGATCCGGCCTCAGAGTCCGGTCAAACCGAGGCGCTGGTCATCCGATGGCGTCACGGAGCACGAACCTTGGCTCATGACTCATGACACAGAGGGACAAAAGGCATGGTGAAAAAAGGCCAGGCTCTGAGGGGCCTGTGTGCATCTGAGAGCGTGTGTATTCACGTGCAGCTCTCAGCCCTCCCCATCATCTGGTTTGAAAGAAACGTGGCAAATGGAGGGAGGGCGCAGATGACAGTTTGACCTGGGTCAAAAGGCCTACGATAGGGAGCAGGAGTCTGGGAAGGTTCGGTTTTCAGTACATTTTTTGGGGGGTGTCTGATAGAAGTGTGCCCACTGATGGTCTATTTTTCAAAAGAACCTGTCACAGTCCCCATTTGTGTAAGTCCCTGCCTCAATTATTTGAATCCTCCCTAGTCACTTGTTTGAATAAAGTCTGCAGATACACGGGTATGCAGCCATCACTGCATGCTCTATAAGAAAGAAAATACAAAGAAATCTTCTATTTTTTTCATTCTTTCTTTGTTTGGGGGATTTTTCTCTCTTCTTCACTATGTTTCCTTATTATTATGGATTATTATGGATGGCTTTATCTCTTCACTCGTCCAAAGATCTAAATCTCTGCCAAGTGTTTTTGCTTCTACTCTGTCAGAATGACTCTATCTGGCTTATAAATGGAGGAAAGATCATTCTTGATGTTGAGAATTGCTTGTAAATTATACAGATAAATCACTGGCTGTGTATGTTCAACTGATTGATAGAGTTACTGCATACTGACCCCTTCCCATTTTGGGCTGAATACAGCTTAATCCTTTACCACTCTGGGCTTGTTCAGCCTACAGACCAAATGAAGGTATTTTTCATATAATCCAGAAATTTTTACAATCAAAACCAAAACCGCTGAAACCCAATTCAGGTGGACCTTCTGGAGATGCTTCCACATCCAGGTGCTCCGTCCGCTCAAACTCATCTGATTCACCTGCGTCAAAGATTTTTGAAGGACAGGATGAACAAATGTTCCACTTTCCCCATATGGACTAGAAAACACACACACACACACACCACTGAATGCAAGCGTGTTCGAGCTGGGAGAGGACAGTTCCATATGTCTCTGTTCTCCCACCATTTGCAGCTATCTCAGTCTATGTGTCGCTACAAAAGCATGACCATTTTTACCTGATTTTTGTTGTAGAGTAACAACCTTTAACCAAAGGGTGCACTGATGGACAGCTTCAAATGGTTTGCTCTTTGTGTAGTTTTGTCTTCTGATACTTTCTGATCATGTTCACAGTCGCACACAAACTTGAATACATTTGAGTATTAACAAAATGTTAAACTTTTGAACCCTGAACTTTAACTTTACTAGTACAGACTCTAAACTTTAATAGTTTAAATAATGTTGATGCGTGGATAATTACTTTAGAATGAACTATCCCTGTATGAAAACTATGTAGTTGTACTTTGAAACATTCCTAGTTTTGCTTTGACTCAGAATCAAGGTGCCTGACTTTAATGGCTTAAGTTTTGTAACTTTTTTGAGAACCTTGGAGCACTTTTCCCATTTTTCTTTGTGATGCACTCTTATTCGTCTTTTCTCTTCCTTTCCTTTCTCTCTCTCTCTCTCTCTCTCTCTCTCTCTCTCTTTTGGCCCTCAGGCGTAAATCTCAAAGCAGAGAGGCCACTCTTGACAGCTCGGTCGGAGTGGCCTCTCCCTACTGTAAATCCGGACTCGAGATCCCCGCATCGATCCCTGCAGGTCGATGGTGTTATTCATGTAGCCGCGCGAGCCGGTGCCCTTGCTTATCGACGATAACTTCACAGTCAGCAAGGCATGAAATGACTGATGCGTTTAGCTGAGGGAAGGGGCTAGACGCGGACCAGGGGGCCGTTCTGGCGCCAAGTTCAGCAGGGAAACAAACACGCGCGCACACGCATGCCTCGCGCGCACATTGGGCGTGCTGCATCGGGGATCGCTGTGAGGGGCGCACGAGGTCGGCACGGGAAATCCAAAAATAGAATTAAAGCTGTCAAAAACGCCGCCGTGGATCCTCTGAGCGCGCCCCCTTCGTGTCCGCTCGCGGGAACAGCTGGCCCCCCACACGGGTCAGCTGACCGCTGGCCTCCCATTGGCCGGCTGCGCCGTGTAAACACACTCCAGCCCCGGCCCCCATTCAGCCGGGACAGACCGCTGATGGAGAGATATGAAGGGAGCGGGGGGGGGGGGGGGGGGGGGGGGGGGGGGGGGGGGGGGGGGGGGGG